CCCTATTGTTGGTTGTTTTAGAGTTTTACCTCCCTGCTGTTACTGTTTGACTCCCAAAGGCCTGTTTGTGGTTCGGCTAAATGTTGAGCTGTAGAGGTCACTTCAGCTTGGACCGTAGTCTAGGGAGTTCCAATAGACTATGAGACCAGGAAGCCTGGGACTTTTTTGTTTTGTATTTTCAAGTTCTGGGCCATTATTTTTCTCCCACTATCTAGGACCTGCTATATCGTGACCCCTTTCAGGAATGGTTGGCAAGGTGCAGGGCTGTGAAGGCTGGGGTTGGCCTGGTCCAGCAGTCCTTGGAACTGTTGGCCCCTGTCCTTGGTTTCCTTCACAAGAATTGGTTTTGAGTCCTTAAGGGTGGCCGCCACCTGTCTGTCCCAGAGGCTCATGGGTGCTGTGATGCTGAGCAGTTTCAACAGGGCTGAAATCCAGGTGTTCTGCATCAGGTCGAAGGACTGAAGCTCTTTCTGTTGTCATCACACGTGCAGCTGTGTCGGCCTTGATGTGTGGTACGGGGTGGTGAGAGGAAGGTGCTGTGGCCCTAGGCATAGGGCTCACTCTTTTAACGGGCCTGTGCTCCAGCCCTTCCATGAAACAGAAAAGCCAGAGGGCCAGACTGGGCACTTCCCTTTCTCTCTGTCCGTTGCCAGCCCTTCCCACAAACAGCCCTATTGGTTTCTTTTGTTTTTATTATAAATCATTTATTGGGGGGTTCTTAACAGCTCTTATGACAATCCACACATACACCCATTTTGTGTCAAGCACATTTGTATATATCTTGCCATCATAATTTTCAAAACATCTTCTTTCTACTTGAGCCCTTGATATCAGTTCATTTCCCCACTCCCTCTCTCACGAACCCTTGATAATTTATAATCATTTTTTCATGTCTTTAAAAAAAATCATTTTATTGGGGGCTTGTACAACTATCACAATCCATACATACATCCATTTCGTCATGCACATTTGTCCATTTGTTGCCATCATCATTCTCAAAACATTTTCTTTCTGCTTGAGCCCTTGGTATCATCTCCTCATTTTTCCCCTCTCCCTCCTCCACCCTCCCTCCCTCCTGAACCCTTGATAATTTATAAATTATTATTTTTTCATGTCTTACACTGTCTGAAGTATCCCTTCACTCACTTTTCTGTTGTCCGTCCCCCAGGGAGGGGTTATATGTAGATTGTTGTGATCAGTCCCCCTTTCTCCCCAACCTTCCCCTT